ACATATTTACCACTATAAGCTATGCATGTTTTTAAATATAAACTTAATCTAAACAAATGCTGATATTAAAATAAATATATAATAATAAATTTGTTACATTGCATGTAATATGAAAGAAACAAGACACAATGTTGAAGTCAAAAATAAGAAAGTAAAACATTATTTACTGAAGTACAGGAAACTGAAGGACATAGATAATATACAGAGTGGTAGTACTGTTTCAGATAAACGAAATGTATATAAATGAGAAGAGTTAAACTACAACACACACCAACAACAGGTAGAAATAAAACGAAACAAAGGCAGTCTTCCACTGCAAGTTTTGGCTCTTTTATAAAGACAAACTGAAATCCTTAAAAGTCAAAGTAAATCTGATCTGAAAGTGCTAAAACTGTATTTACAATAGACATTCTCCACATAGCTGACTAATGAGAACAAGAGCACCAGCATGCAGAAAATATCTGTTCCATGTGGAGATTTTGACTAGCTGCCCTCCATCTAGTCTAGGCTATCACTTCAAAGTTAGAGATGGCTAATGCAGATAGCTCTCATGTAGCTTTTTTGTGAAATTCAGTAAACAAACAAAAATCCTTATGCATCAAGAATCAGCTTAGATATGAGGGTCCATTATTTGCATTCCATTGCTGCAAGAAAAAGAGAATGCTTGGAATTTTGGATACTTTGGTATATTATAAGATTTACAGTCAAATCCTAGCATTTGATTAGAGCAGCCAAAGAGTTGGAGGATACTGCTGTTAACTAGCTGCCAACCCGATAATCCATTGGATTTCCCAACTTTGTTGTTCATTACCCACATCAAATTTTTTACTCTCAGTAGTCTAAGAATTGATGATTAGTGCTGTTGAGTAACTGCCATCCCTCTAATACAATTGTTTCCAAACTTTTTTTTTGTGGCACCACCTATATATATATATATATATTATCTTGATGGACTACAAGGGGATATATACACTATGCTGCCATTTCCTTTCCATGAACCACCTGAAGGGAGCCAGCAAACAACAGATTGAGAACTGCTGCTCTAATCTATCACTTCAAAATTAGGGATGGCTTTTGTGAAGATAGCTCTCAAGTAGCTTTATATTAAATTAAACAAACAAAATTCTTATGCATCAAATAGTTGGTTGTGGCTAACTGATTACTGTGCTGGTCTGTGGATTTGAGGGTCCGTGGTTTACATTCCATGATGGAAGAAAACAAAAATTGTGCTTGTCATTTTGGGGCCTTTAATACATTATGATAGTTACAGTCAAATCCTACTAGTTGATTAAAGTAATCCAAGAATTGGTGGTTGGTGCTGTTGACTAACTGTCATCCTTCTAGTCTGTCAGTTTAAAATATTGGACAGCTAGCTGTTGTATAGATTTGTGCAAATATTTAAAAGTAACTAAACCATATGCTTTAAAAAAACCCTATACAGACAAAAAAATATTAAATATAAATTTTAGCTGGGATTTAAAGACTAGTAGAATTAAAACAAGATTTTCAGGTAATGTGTATATTCTAGAAACTCTTATAATACAAGTATGTTTTAAATTGAATAATAAACTGACAGACCGGATATTATTGTTGAATGGTTTAAGCCATATATCTGTGGTAGCGATGGTTGTTACTTGACATGATGTTTCTATCCATCGTTGCTACCGCAGGCTATTGCTGCCCATAAAGAAACTTCTTCGTAGAATAGACATTTGCTATTAAATTAATTGCTTTTCGTTATACATAAAGTTTTAAAAATTTTGTTTGTTTTCTTCCTTTTGAAGCTAATTAATTTCATGCAAAACCTGAATACTTAAGTGCACTTCAAACCTACACAAGGGACCCATTCATCATTTGGTTTGTACTGTGTTTATAATAATAGAAGCCATTTTAGACTATGAATAATATATTCGATTTTGAGTTTTCTTAAGTTATTTGGGTATGAAAAGATAATTATAACGAGCCTTTTAACTGTTGTAACTGGTACTGCAGTTTCTTTTTTTTTATAATGATAACTCAAGTAATTTTGTTTGTTGTCAGTGTTAACTACAAAATGAGCTTTTAATGATGATCTTTTGAATAAATTAGCAAGAAATTCAATCAAATAGTAAGCTAGCCTTTTGTGTTGTTAATTGTATGTATACCATGTGAAATACTATTACTTGATCATTATTCATTTTAAATAAGTATATTACATTTTAAAGGACATCTGTAACTGTAGATATAAGGTTTGTATTTGACATGGTAATAACCAGGAGGCTGTTTTACATGGTGGTGACACTCAATATCATGGTGGTCTGAGGTTTTATTTAAGATGTATTTAAATAAAAAATATATATATATTTACAATAAATTTTAATATTCTCAAATAATTAAGGAATTAGCTTCTTTATGTGTGTTAGTAGATTACTGAGTAGTCTTTTGATATGAATAAAAAATGTTGGATGTTGTTGTGAAGAAAGAATATCTTGAAGAGGTTGATAATAAGAAGAATGAACGAAAGAAAGAAAGGTTTATAGTGAGGAAAAGTAAATAGAGAGTGGCTAATCTGATTTTCTGAGATTTAAAGGCAGGATATGGGGATTTGTATGACTCTTCAGAAATCA